TATTATTATTATTATTATTANTTATTATTATTATTATTATTATTATTATTATTATTATTATTATTATTATTATTATTATTATTATTATTATTATTGTTATTATTATTGCTTTTCTTATGATCAATTTCTTGCAGAGCCAAAAACTGGTTTTCACATTGCTTTCAACATGTTCGATACCGATGGCAACGAACGTGTGGATAAGACAGAGTTCCTCGTGGTAAGAATTATCTAAAGAATTTCTTATCGTTAATTATACATATTTCGAATGATTACGAAATTATTATCTTATAAATAAGAAGAAAATGTGACACTATAAATGATCGTATCTAATAAATTCCGAAGCAAAAGCTTATCTCTATTAATAAATTTTTAAATATTCCTACATGTCATTTATAAATTTTCATAAAACATTCGTAATCTTAATGATTCGGATAGAAACAAACCTTGTTAATAAAAATATGAATTAATGGATAAATATAACAGTTTTTAATAAATGTTACATATAATTACGCGTTAGACAACGCACATAATTCAAAAATGATACAATCATTTTTAGTATGTCTTTACCATATTCAATTATATTCCAATGAAATATCTGTTAAATGTGTTGATTTTTTTCTGCATGTTAAATGCGTGTGCGTTTGTGTTCATGTAGAATTATATTAAATCATGGTTTTAGAGCAACTTAGGGTAAGATTTAATCATGATTCTTTGCCTTTGATATGAATGTTACTGAAAAAATGTAGATAGGCTCGTAGATAGAATCCTCGTCGTCGTCAAACGAAAATTTTAGTTGAACAGGAAAAATGAAGGAACTGAAAAATACTGTTTCTTTTTTTTTTTTTKTTTAATTGGTAAATATACAGTCCGGACATGACTTATGATTAAAAGAAAAATTGTCATCTAAAATTTTCGCAGATTCGACGATTGTTGGGTGGAAGCTTGAAGAAACGTGATCTAGACGAAACGACGAAACGTGCAGTGAGTTTTGACGATAAAAAATCTCAAATTTTAACAAAGAAAAAAAAAGAATCGAAGCAAAGCTACTTACTAACCCATATTAACTAAATACATAGGACGTGTTTATTTGACTCATTGGCGTTCAATTATATTTATTTTTAATCAGTATTATTTCTAGCGATTATTATTACTTACGTCATTATTGTTTTCATTTCAAAATGTCAGTTGCAACAAATACTGACACCGAATGAAGAAAATGCAGCAACTATTAAACTTCGTAATGCAAATGAACGAACAAACAAGAACGATACTTTCGTCCCTGGCTCTTATGTAAGTCCGTACTGGTGATGTTTCTTTTTAAAAATGGAACTAAATTTAATCACCGTGTTTTATATTTTTATTCTAACAATTTGTCTTGAATTTATAAAAAAAAAAAAAAAACAAAAAAAAAAGATAAGGGCCGATAGAAAAAGAAAAGCAAAGTATCTATTTTGAAGACGAATCACATTTCAATCGACACGTTTCATAAAACGACTAATTTAATAAAAAGTGTATAATCAAATTCTTTTTACATGCTTTCCCTAAGATGCTTAGTTAACATAGTTATAGACTTTAATGGTAACATATATGTTTATCTTTAACAATCAAAATGAAAAACCGAAAATCAGTCATTGCTAGTTCTTCCTCGGCATTCTTATCTACGGAAATAAGGCTTTTTCCCGAGTTTTTCATATTCTATAAAATATGAAAGTATTATGTTACATAACTTTGAAAAATTGTAAGAATTGTTGAATTACCGCTTCGTCGGAAGGTGCTTTTCGTAGATAAGAATGCCGAGGAAGAATTAGCAATGATTGATTTTCGGCTTTGACGACAATACATATACATTTGAATGTTGAAAATGCATGATATGACGCAGATGGAAAAAGTCTTTAGTCATGCATGGAGAGGACGTCATGGTATTGAAACGAAAGACGAGTTGGAACATTTGAATCAACGTCAAACAAGTCCTGAAGAAATCCAAGGACAATTCATTAATGATGATCAGGTATTGAAAGAAATAAACCATTGTGTTGAAAATAAATCAACTACTTTTGAAATCAATCTTTTATGAAATCGATAGTTTGTTAATTGTTCATCGTCGGACGTGAATCCAGAAATGAATTTATTTCTATCCTGAATAAAAGAATCTAAATAAACTGATATAATAGGGCCTACAACGACGTCATGCAGTGGACACAACCTTGATGATACATTTCTTTGGTAAAGATGGTAACTATGAATTAAAATACGACGATTTCCGTCGTTTTATGGAAAATCTGCAACACGAGGTATTAGAATTGGAATTTCATGAATTTAGTAAAGGTCATGACACGATAAACGAATTGGACTTTGCTAAAATTCTTCTAAGATACACTCAATTGGATGTCGAAGAGTAAGATGATGGCTTTTAATGACATTTACTTCATATTTTCATTTTCATTCCCTATCTATGTAATATCGAAATATGCGAATAAATATGTTGTTACAGATTTGACAAATATTTGGATAGAATGATGGATCGATCCAATTTGAACATCGGTATTACTTTCGACGAATTTAGACGTTTCTATCAATTTTTAAATAATTTGGATGATTTTTCAATAGCCATGCAAATGTATACTCTCGCAGATCATCCGATTTCTAAAGGTAGACATCGAAATTAATTAATTTCGATAGAAAATAAAAGACGATTTTTTGTTCGTTAAATCGATACTTCATCGATACTTCATCGATACTTCATCGATACTTCATCGATACTATTGGATGATTTGTATTTTTAGATGAATTTCAACGAGCTGTTAAAATATGTACCGGTGCTGTACTTTCTTCGCATATTTTGGATACCGTCTTTGCATTATTTGACGACGATGGTGATGGACAATTGTCCTATAAAGAATTCATAGCGATTATGAAAGATCGGCTTAAAAGAGGATTTAAGGTATAAACAAAACAATAAATTATATGCTCCTTTTCTTTTTTATAATCCTATCATTTGTAATTCCTCAATTCTTCCTATAAAAGTCTTCTCTCATATACGTATGAGACTCCTGTAATTTGATTAAAAATTCGCTCAAGTACGCTAAGCATGACGGGACAACGTCCACTAGGGGCACCCTTTTTCTTCATCTTCCTAAACTTTTCTAATAACTTTTTCATGCTCTTACAGCTGGATTCCTATTGGACGTAGATATTAATTATAACAAAAATAAAAATAATAAATTATTAAATATTCTATAGAAAATTATCAAAATCGAACTAATTTATTCGATTGTACAAGACACATTAAATAATGAATATATAATTGACAAATTATTTATCCCAGCAAAATAATAAATATAAATATATAAATGGAAGCACACATATTTCAATGAATTTAAGGAAATCTGATGAAAAAATGTCTTTACTTTCGTCCAATATAATAAAATCCAGTTTTGTAAAAAGGCTAACACGATATAACTATAATTTTTATTCCTTCTTCGTAGTCTCAGCCACGAACCGAAGGTCGCGAGGCATTTAAATATTGCGTGAAACAAGAAATGAAAGCACCTTGAAGTTTAAAGCATCGATTCTTAAAAAAATACAGCGCGCATATTTCTCTAAAAGAAACAAAAATTACAATATTGTGCCTATATTAAACCAAGAAAAAAAGAACAAGAAAGACAACCATAAAACAGTATTCTCATATTCTACTTGCTTCTGTTAATCTAATATAATTTAAATAAGGAACTTACCAAAAAATATCTGCGTTATTGTATTGAAATTTTTTTAAATGAAATATTATATATATATATATATATATATATATTTATTATTATAAGTTAATTTATCGATTTTTGTATTAACATGTTGGTGATAATATTACTTATACAAAATATTCGCAAATAAATAAATGCCTTTGTCAAGTATTCACGAACCATTGTTTTTTCTTATTGTTAGTTCACGAAACTACTTGCATCCATGCTTGATCATGCTTGACTATCCTGATTCCCTCGTTCTGCGTATTTAAGTATACATACAGGGTGTCCCAGAATTTTACGAAATGATGAAGATTCATCCACAAGTTTCAATTTTCAATAAATATATACATAAATGAAAAATTAATGAATCCTTTTTGGATGGTATTTTGTTTTGCACGAAAATGTAATTGCAAAAAGAAGACCAACTTTCGGGAATGCATCAAAAATGCATTTACCATTATCCCTACTCATGCAAGAATTAATTCAACGGATGAGAACAAAAATTCTGACTACCAAAAACAATATGAACTTTCTTGACTTACTTGACCTAATTAATAAATTTGGTCTTGACCTTTTGGGACACCCTGTATATATGAATTGTGATTCTTCTTGGTTTATATATCGTACACGAAATCTAGTCAGACGTTTTAGTTGAAAGAAGCCGACCAAAATGAATAAATTCCAACGTACGCCTTCAATGTACATTGCACAGAGTTTTCTGTGAAGAAGTCCAGTTTATTTTACTTGACGAATAATTGAGAGTAATTTTAATCCATGTTAACTGATTCGTTCAAATAATATTTCTACGTTAATTTAAGTGTCCAATTAATTCTATTAATGTTGATCTATAAATATCTAAATTATTCTGATTCATATTATTCGTATAAGTATAATATATAATAAGATTAATTTTGACAATGTTGTTAAAATACTCGTACCGTACAGTTATTCTTACAGAAATCAATAAAATATAAATAAGTTTCTAATACGATTGTGAAGAGAAGACTGTTAGACAAATAAGGGATCACGCAAACAAACAAAAAATTGCATTAAAATTCAAAGAACGTATAATAAGAAGAACAGAAGTAACGTGCAAAAGTATGAACACCCCCCTACCCATACATGCATACACATATACGCAAATCCTACACCTCATCTTCAAGAGCAAATAAGCAAGATGGGCTGAGGGGGAACTTTTGTTGAAGTGGGGAGTAAAAAGAGAGAGAAAGAGAAGAGCAAACGTTAGCAGTGCGAGGAAACGTTCAAATGTTTACCGTCAGACGATCGCGAAGTGTTGCGAGACAAATAGTCGATCTTTCGTTCATTTGTTTGTTCAAAAATCGTTCTTTTAAATAAACAATTATAAAACAAAATCAGTGAACATTCAATTATAAAATACTTTGCGGTGTCACGTTCAAGATGGGAGTGATGAGTGTCTTAAAGTGGCTCAGAAAGTAAGTTAATTATTCCTAATTGAAACTCGCAAATTTTATATAAATTTACTTAAATATCTACAATTTACAATACTTCCAAAAATAAGTCTACTAATTTTCATCAAAGTATTCAGTTTTAATAGAATTTTCATTAATTGTTCTTTTATATCATTTTAAATTTTTTTTTTATAAATTCGTGCAATAATATGAAACGTTCGATTACTCCGATTACTTTCACTTCGAGATCTGGTATTTCATATACATATATATATATATAAATAAATTTCAAATATAGAATTCGTATTATCATACGTGAACAAGATTAACGTGTATACAATTCAAATCAAATACAGAGATATATATATATGACCTTTGACTCGAAAATAAATGAAGCTTATCAAATTACAAACATCTCTCATTTCGTTTAACAAATTCATTTCAATGTACTTTTCTCTTTTATGCATTTATCTATACATATATATATATATATATATTAATATATATATATATATATATTAATTCCTAGGAAAAGAACAGGTTCGCCGTAACTTTCATTAGAATCTAACGTTAGTCCTATCCTTTACGAGTATCACGGTTCATACTAAGTAAGCAATGTATATTTTTGCATTATAACATCACGACTAAAAGGTGAAGGACGTTTACATTTGCGTCAAGTTACGATAACAAAAACGAAACTCGTTCAACTTGGTATTGTGTGTGTGTGTGTGTGCGCGTGTATGCGTGATGTGATATCATTTTTTATTTATAAAGCAATCATCGTGGTAATTGTTTCTAATTTTTTCTATTTTAGACTCCCAAAAATATTCAAACACTACGGTATGAACAAATCAATCTTACGGCTTCGTATTTCGATTTTTGATAAAACAATTGTTATAAATAATTGTTTCATTTGATTTACTTCTAATGCAATAACTAAAGTCATATTTTGAAGTGTTACAGTTGACTTTAATAACGTTTCAACGTTCCGGTAAAAGTGTCCGAAAAATTTTCAAGCGTATCAAAGACACGGGCTAATTATTGTTGTGGCCCAAAAGAACAAGAACACCTGCTGAGATTTGGATCTTACGTGTTACTCTTAAACCGTTACCAGAATCAATTCTTCTTCTTTACATGCTTATATTCAACGTAGTTTTATTTACAGAGTGTCTCAGCTAAATGGGATCACCTAAATATCTCCTTTATTAACAATTCTATAAAGAAACTGTAAATGAAAAAAAGTTGCACTAAAAGAATTTTTTCTCAAGTTCATTTTTATACGAAATTTCAAGATCGTGTATACGTATGTGCATAGAATCCATATATGTATAATTATCTCATTATTTTATACGAGAACACGTACTTCCCTTATCTTCTTCCTTTTATGTTTTCAAACATAATGAAGTAGCAGTCCGATCGTTAGAACAGATTCCGTTGTTATTCGCTCATTTGATTTATCTTATAAATGAAATTAGAAAGAAATTAGAACGTTGAAGTTAAAATACTTTTAAACGAGATTAATTATTTTTCGGTCTCCGATCAATAAAAAGAAAAAAAAAAGAAGAGAATAATAGGAGAAAGTGAATGTTCTTAAAACGTCATAAATTTCGTGAACGGAAACGAAACATAATCGTTTGTTTCGAATAGAATAGAATAAGAATTTAACAGTTACCTACTTTTCTCAAGATCTTAGACTCGCTCGAATGACCCCTGTGATCTTTTGCCACGTAAAAATAAAGATCGTAAGATCTTTCTCTTCTTAATTCTCACGAAAACAGTTGTTTATAACAGAAATTGTATGCGTGTATCGCATGTTACGATGAAGATCCACGTGCAATCTTAACTTTGCATGCACTCTTTTAACTATTCTGCAAAGTATTTTCTAACATAAGATTGTATGAACTTTGTTGACCAACTAAACCTCATTAACGCGTAGTATAAGTTTGGTTCTAACCTTTCGAGACACCCTGTATATATTTATATCTCATAAAAATAATATATATTGTTCTAATACACAGTATTAACACGTATGTCTCGGATTACCATATTAAAATATCCCCGTTAATATTAGTGCCAATTATAGACACTAGGAAATAATATGGAACTTGAAAATAAATTCAGTGACATAATTAACATGTATCAAGTATTCCAATGTGCTTGATACTTTCTCTATTAAGATTCAAGTAATGAATGAACGAATGTATTTCAATTTATACAACCTGCATATGCATATCGTATTTAATAACTAGTTCAACTTGTCTTCCGTATCTATATATAACAACACCTACAACAATATATAAATATATACATTTATACATATATATAGAGAGAGTGCATTAAAAGTCGCTTTACCGAATTGGGAAAAAAGAATTTTTGCTAAGAATTTAGAGTGGCTGCTTTCTGGACCCATATCTTATTAACAACACTGTTATCTTAGATTCACATCTTGATAAAAGTGTCACTCCATTGAAAATAACACCCACGCGCTACTCGTAAATGCTAATTCAATCTTTCTCAAACTGAAAAATAAATGATAGTAATTCTATTATCAAACCAATATTGATTTTTGTTCTTTCATTTTTGTTTTCTCGATGAAGCTACTTTTGAGGCACTCTGTATATAACTAACTTTAATGAATAAAAGAGATTGAAATAGAGATTAGAATATGTGAAACTAGTTTTATATGAAATCGTAAAGTTACATAGTCGAACGTATTTATATACTATACAATACCGAAACAAAAAGATTATTAGGATGAGAGAGAAAGTTGACGATCGCAATGATCATTTAATTTGATGAGGAAAAATTTAAAAGTCCGCCATTCACTCGTAGCCCGCCAACTTTTTTCCTAAATTTAAAATGACTTTATGATTTTTACAATTCGATATAATTGGTCATTTATTAAAGTTTATTATTATTTACACAATTTATAGTTATTATAATACACTTACTTACAGGGATATTCGTTGCAGAGACAGAAGAAGACAAAGCTTATCCGAGAGACAACAGATCTTTCCAAAGTAAGTATGAATATAAATTATTACACCATAAAGTATACAGAGAGAGATTAAAAAGTAACAATAATCGTCTAATTTAACCAATGAAACATTAAAATAAAAATAAGCCTCTACCAATAAAATCACTCGTATCTCGAAATGATTTATTAATTTTCATTTATTAACCAATAAGATGTAATCTTCTAATTAATCTGATTGGTTTTCACATAAATTTGGTTAAAATCGTATTAATACCAGTGGTGCCATCGTTCATCAATTATCGAATTAATTACAATAGAATAATCGACTCGATCGAATTTCAATGAAGAAGAGAACAAATATTTAAAAAAAACGGTGACAAAATTCTTTAAAGAAAAAGACTGAAAGAGGAGAAAAAAGGAAAATGTCGGCTTCTTATAAAACAATTCACAATGCAAAAAAACGACGACAAAGGACAAGCTGTTCCAATGAAACCGCGTAAGTTCGATCTTTATCTTCTTTTACTCAAAAAGAAGCCGGCATAACCTCCTTCGATGATGATTTATCTTTTGAATTTTCTTTTTTTTTTTTCTTTTTTTATAATTATCATATGATTGAATACCAGTTATTAATACTAGAGTACAATTATTTTAACAAATTGACAATCTTTTTCATATTGACGATAGATATAAGTTTTTTATTTAATATAATCTTATTGTATATTCTTTAATATTTTCTTTGCATCTACCGCTTTTTTACGAGATAATTATTTTGAGTAAACAAAGATGAATTAAAAAATGTTCGAAATCTATGATTACAATTAAATTTGCCAATTTTAGGATAGAGAGAACGAACTACTGCTTTATATAATTATCGTGCCAACAATTTATCATAACTTTTTAAATATATTTAAATTAAAAAACAAATGAATAAGTAAAGAAATAACAAATAAAAAAATAAGATAATCGATAGGCGGCAAATTTGAAATCGTCAATCCCCGTTAACAATAACAACATACAATCAATCAACAAATGAATGAATGCATTTATTTACAATTTGAATAGACATAATGCAGCGATTTTGTCATTCTTTCAGTGAATCTTATCGAAACGCTTTACAAGCATTTATGGATCGTCGAAGATTTTCAGCATCGGTCATAGAAAGAAGAACTCCTCCTAACAATATTTTAGATGTAAATAGCGATTCTTTATTAACGGAGAATAATACTGTTAACAATATCGAAAAAGATAATGATATTAGTGGAAACGATTGTAAAATATCTCAAGAAGAAGATTCATTATTTATGCTGGATGTACCACATGTACCGGCATCGGAGATCTTTGAGATCGGATCGGTCGCTGGAACGGAGGATCGATATTTGGAATTGATCTATGCTGAGTGGGAAAACACGCGAATCTCATTGAAGAGGCAAACGCATCCGGAGTGTCGAAACGCGGTCAAAGCCGACATGGAAATTCTCACGTAATTTATGAGTTTCTTTTCTTTTCTTTTCTTTTCTTTTCTTTTCTTTTCCTTTGATCATGTGAGAAAGTATGCGTTGCGATATTTTACTTTCAGCATCATCGTTATGTGATCATGCGATCACTTCATTTAAATTGAACAACCATTTTTCAATTTGCTTTTGTTTATTTTCTTTTTAGGAAAATTCGCCATCCAAATGTATTGATGCTAATGGCTTTAACACAGACGGAAGAACACGGGCTCATTTCAATTCTCGAACCCGTAGACTGTACCCTTTACAATTACATACACGAGCAAGGCGAACGAATTTCCGTTCGACAGATGGCAAGGTTCGCCGGAAAATTAGCCGATGCACTTAGGCATGCACACATGCGTGGTTACATCCACAGTGCGATTAGTCCCCATTGCGTTTATCTCACCTTTGGTGAAACTGTTAAACTTGCTGGATGGGAATTGGCTGTCAGCGTAACTAACGTAAGACATTCTTTATTTGTGAATTCTATTGTATTCCTTACAATAAGAATTCCTTACTAATTGAAAATTATTTTATGTAATTAATTAGGAATATTGGAGGATGGGTTGACAATTTTGTAAACCTCTTCTTCTTTTCTAAAAGTTTTAAGAAAAATAAGATACAAATTTTCAAGTAGATAAAGGGTTGAAATATTATATACACGAAATAGATGAATTTCATCTTTTATCCTCTACCATCTAATATAATGAATCTCAAGTAAAGAACAGAATTGTAAATGTAAAGAATAGAATTTTTTATTGGTTTCGCTGTGTGTTACGCAGGCGAGAATACCTGCGATAAATAGGAAAGATTTAATGGGATAACAGAGGAGGAGTAGAAAGGGGAAAGAGAGGTATACGTCATTTCCGTAATTCCATGACGCACCCAGCGTCGTTGAAAAACAGGAAACTCGGACAGAGTTTTATGTATGTACATTGTTTCCTACGAAATGTAGATTTCTGTATAAAATCGTTCTACCATGACTGAGGTTGATTACACTGGTTGGTGCCGGATGAAAACCTAAAACGCGGGATATCTCGGTAGACCGATGGTAGAGAATCATGTGGATTCATGAAAGTCATTTAAAACGAATTTAATTAAATCTCATGGCCATGAATTTAATGAAATTTGCTTTTTTTTTATTCTCACTAATATGCTATGTTTTTCTAACAACATTTACAATCTGTCACTAAAATAACTCTTGACAAATCTGATGTTAAATTATAATCAATCATATCGTTGATTTACTTTTATTTTTATTTTTTCTATTGCAGTCAAAATCCAAACAAAAATACGAGGACATTTTACGTAGCGAAATCATCAGATGGCAAGCACCAGAATTATTTTCTAATATTGTCTGCAAAGAGAACGACATTTATGGGCTTGCCTTACTCATATGGGAAATGTGCACCAGTAAGCTTTAATTTAATTACTTATCTATAGTTTTGCTTAAACGGTAAAAAAGAGATCTACGTTATTTCATCTATTATTTTTCTGTTCTTCCATTATACAGGGTGTCCTATAACTGGTGGTACAAGCAAGCAGGGGATGATTTTATATGAAAAACTGAATTGAAAATGTAGAATCTAATTTGTTCATATAAGGCTTTGTTTTGGAAAAAAATAAGTTTGAAAGTTTGTTAAGTATGCGTGCACTCAACTGAGCTTGCAATCCTAAAAACTAAAAACCTTGTTCGCTTGTACCAACTTTGATGCAACTCCTGATGCAATCTTATAGAATTTGTATTTCTAAGATTGAAATGCAAGATACAATTAAAAGTAACTTTAGGAATTATAATACATTTATATATATATATATATATATATATATATATATATATATCTCTTTATAATCTTTTTATATAATTTTTAACAGTGCGTATACCATGGAATGGCTACGACGTTTCAGAAATCAAGAAGCAGTACGTACAATTGGAACAAAGTATTCCTCTAGATTTATGCGATTCTCCACCAATAATTCATAGTTTATTAGAAGTAGCTTTACAAATTGATCATACCAAAAGAAGTATCGATCTTATTAAAACACGCAGATTGTTGCAGGGTCTCGAAGTAAGTGCTATCGACTTAAAATTACTTTGATTATTTTGTTAATAATAATATTGTCATAATTTTAGATACAACACGAGTATAAGGACGAATGCAAAGAAAGTAAAAAAAAAGAAATTGACAAGATAGTTGTAACACCAACCATTGAACCCTCGACTGCAACTGATTGTAATAGCGCACCATCGGCGATATCATTAAATCAAAATGTCGACACTGTAAAAAGTAGATCATGTTTGGATTCTACGAAAATCAAAAGTCTAGCTCAAAAAAAGACTTCGAACGAAGTGTTCACAGAGGCACCAAATTCAAAATTAAACTCACTGACTCAAAATGATCGATCGAACTTTGTTTCGAGTCCAAAAAGATCAATCGAAAGATATAATCATAAAGAAATGAAATTGAATTCATTGGATAAAAAGGAAAATAAGGAAAATAAAAATAATTCGAAAAAAAGAAGTAACGACGTCAATTCTGACTTACCAGAATTACAATCTTACACTGCATTTAAAAAGTCACAATTTATGAAAAATTCAATATCACCAAATAGTAAAAATGAAAAAGTAAAAGTACCTAAAATTCTGTCTGACTCTACTTCTAGTACTATATCTGCGATATCTTCTACGTATCTTGACATTACAGAAGATATTGCAGCACAGACTAACCCACGTGCTAATTTGCAACGTTTGAAAGAAATTCTTGCTAATAAAAGAGAATGTTTCTTTAAGAATATCGAAACACCCCAGACCCCTGAAAAAAATCAAAGTAAGTATCAAAGTGATATGGACATTAAGGATAATTATTGTTAACAAATAATAACTTTATTATTTTATTTGAATAGATGATTCAATCGTCGAGTCAGAAATATTGGCCAAAGTAAAGAGTAGAGATTACGAGCCACATAAACCTGCTAGTCATAAGACAAGTTTAGAAAAAAAATATAATAAATCTCCCGGTTCATACGATTCGCCATACGTATCACCATATATTTCGCCTAATCAACCAACTTGCAAAGTACTTTCACATAAATTATTTATTTCTCTTCCGTTCTTTCTTTTTTTTTATTTTTGTAATTTATTTATATCAGTGTAAATGATATTATTCTTTACATTACATCGGTATTACTTTTTATTCTTATTTAGCAACCTTACTCACAGATGCCTACACATGTGAGAACCGCAATAATGAAACCTCGTGTAATAATACCGCATCCTCGAGGCTTTTTCGAAACATCCTTGTGGAAAAAAGAAAAAGAAATATGTATATCCAAAATGTGGAAGGAGGATCCAATCGTTACAGTAAGTTTTTTATTTATCTCGATATTAAAATTCATGATAATATTAATTTTATTATTTCATTATTAGCAAATATCTGCGGAAAGTACAGAAAATCCTGTTACGAAATTAGACGAACTTATAAAACCTCTGGAAACGTGTAATGTTAACAACAAATCAGGTTTGTCCCTAATGATACATTTTATTAAAAAAATATTCCAACATTAAGAATTTTCTAACATTAAGTTTAATTGTTCTTTCAGAAAATGTAAAAAAGCAAAGTAAACAAAAGGACAGGGTACTTACTGAAAGTCTAACTGAGTTTGAGTCGATACCAGAAATCGATTCGTTACAAGTTTTGAAAGAAGCGTTGGATAGAGCAACAGAAATAATTTGTGCAAGTAAATCTATCCAGAATGAACCAGACGCAACATATTTACCTTCTCATCGATCCTGTGATAATATTAATACTATAACAAATAACAAGTACATTAGTAAATCGTTCCTGGATAAGGCATATGAATTAGCTTATACCGACGATATCAAAGAAGAAAAAAGAAAAGAAATAAACGATGCAAATAAAACGTTAATGTCAAATAACAATCAATCCTTTGATAACGAATTAAATAGTAATACATTGAAAGAAAATATCAATAATTCTAAAAAGACTAACTGTACTACGAGAGAAAACCAAGATGGAATCTACAGAGCAAATATCTGTCATTTAAAACACTCATTACATGATGTTGATACGATTAAATCTAATAATAAGAAATTATCTAACAGAAAATATACTGAGAATTTCTTTTCTTCAATGTCTACCGATGAAAAGCAAAATGTGGAATCATCGAGCAAAAATTGCAGTAAATGCAATAATAAATTATCATTAAAAAGAAGGTTTTCTTTACCAAATATTATTCCTCATCATAAAGTAGGGAATCATTCGTATTTAGGCAAACTACCGATACGTAAGGCTGTAGGTATTTAATATTATAACATATTAAAAATAATTTCAATCTATATTTTAATATCATTCATTTTTCACATTATTTCAGGATAATTCTCCTAATACCTCGATAGAGGATTTCTACATCGACGACGATAATTTAGAATTAAAGAATTTAAATATTAATATGGTATTATTGAACGACGATGAAGTTTTCTACGATAATTATTTCTTTGACAAAAAAACAACTTAAAATTTCATTTTATAATGCGACCATTTCTTTTTATTTTATTCAAGTGAATTTTTTCCACAAGTTTTGTTCTTCAAAGATTTGACTAAAACTTAATATTAATATAAGTAAACTCCAACTATGTGGTTGGCATACAAAGTATTAGAAAGAGAGAGAGAGAGAGAGAGAGAGAGAGACATAGAATAAGAAAAGAAAGAAAAAACGAAGCCTTATTTTTACTTAGAAATAGAAATTTGCTAACAATAAGTTCTATTGTTCGTATAATATATATATTTTATTTTTTTACGCGTTATATATATATATATATATATACGTTTATTGTATCTAATTAATAGTAGTCTATACTTCCGTTGTAAGATATTAGTTTAAATTATATTATTAATATAAAAAACAAAACATATTATTACTTTTTTCTCAAGCTATAGAAAATAATAAGATTTATTTAAATTGACATAATATAGAAATATGTGTATCATAAAATAATTATAAATAGCGAAAATTTAGTTTAAATACTCAAATGAAAAAAGAGAAACAAATTATTAACGACGGTAAATTAAAATGTTAAATATCGTTTTCCTATATGTTGCAATTTATCTATAAGTTATCGCAATTAAATGTACATTTATAATAAAGCGTTTTTGTGTACAGAAATATTACTTTCAAGATCGTCCTCTTATTAATATTTAAATATATCTTTACATTCGATTTAAAGATTACAAAAAAAAAAAGATATAAGTAAAAAAAAAAAGAGAGATAAATTTGTGCAGGAATAGCTGCATATACGTACGTATATGTTAATCATTTTTGTAACCCCTTACGCTATGATTTAATGCTTAGAACTGTGTGCCATATTCGGTGCTACATTTCGTGCTTCTTATCTTTAGACTGTAAGATTCACCATGAATAAGACTCATGTTTCTCATGTTTAGACCGTAAAACTTATTACAAATCACATGCAATGTTACAGCGCAAGGGGTTTAATATAATTTAAATTAATTATTCATTTAATATTACTAAATATATTACTTAATCATGAAATATATAGATTATTTGGAAAGTTGTTATCCTTCAGATTTTAGATTCCCAAACCAAATACAGAAACAATGCAATACATGGTCTTGTTTTCCCAACGTACAGTACAACTTCCATCTGTGGCATTATCCCAAAAACATGAGCTCGCTGTGTGTAATCCTGCTCCATTTTTTTGCATAATCGTACACGTGACTTAATAAACAAAAATAAGTATAATAAATATACTAAATACAAATTGTTTTTCTCTATTAGTTTGAAAGCATCCACGAGTGGATGTTAATGATTAATCTTTTAGCTACTGCAGAACTTTCTACAATTCTTTATCTCTGTACAACAATTTTCTGTATATAAATATTCACGAAAGCCATTATAGTGGCATGCAGTGTCTAAAAGGTTAATCAAATATTATCATTAATATACAAACCAATATATTTATATGGTTTTTGCAGCCTTGTTAAATTTCCTAAACATGCTTCGACAACGTTCGATGTCCATTGATTAACTTTATTATGTTGATAAGCATTTCCACCAATAGACACTTCGATAGCCTCTTTTATTATCTTGCTTACGGTATCAACAACAAATTGAGTCTATAAATTAAATGCAAATAAATTATTTATTATATTCATACTTTCATAAGTTCATACTATATTTCCATAACGTTAAATATCATATACTATATATAATATATATATATTTGTATATTACATACTAACTTTTTATTAGTAATATTGTATAATTTTTTAATTATCAAACAAAAAAACAATTACTAACCTCTTCTTGCATATCCTCCATTATGACAATTTTGAAAAATAATTAATTAACGAAAATAATGATTTTGATTTCCGCACAATTATGTCACCTAACGAATGTAGATATATGAATGAAAATGATTTCTTGACAACTCACAGGCGTGACACTTTCATACATCAAATTGTTTTTCTTAAATTACTGCATCCGAATATTTAACCAAAAATTAATAAAATAAATACAAGTACATTTAATAAAATTCATTCGTTTTTTTCTAATTTATAAAAACAAAAAGAAAGAAGAAAGTATATAACTTTAATCTCTAGCAAACTCGATAACTCTATTTCCTTTACATTTATGGTACGTTCATATTTAATACATATAAAAAGAGGCAGCTGATGGTGGAGCCATATTGGTTCCTTATGTCACGTCAATAAAAAGAAACATTTTAACTGCAACTAAAATTTTGATAAACAATTATAAACTGATTATTTAATATTCATAAATTTTATTGTTACAAATATTTATATATTCTATTAGTGAGAATTAAAATAATAAATATTCTCGCACAGTATAATCCACCGATTTGATTGGTTCTCACAGTAAGAGAGACTAAACCAATCAATATTAAGTAATGAAAAGAATCGATGGACTTTAAATCGTTTCTAACATTCATAACCTATTCGATTTGAAGTATGTTTTAATATATAATTAAAGTTAAATAATTATTTAATATAAAATTTATAAGAGAATAAAAATAGTAAATATAGTATAATTCACAGATTGGATTGGTTCTCATGATAATATTAAACCAATCACACAATGCGAAGTAACAAATAAATCTTATAAACTTCAAATAATACCAAATATATATACAATCTAATACTGGTTAAATATATATTCAAGTAACAAAAGTTATTTAAGTAATATGAAATACTACAGAATAATAAAGAATATCAATTGATTGAGTAAAAGAGACCCAAAGAACAATTCTAGCGACATGTTGTCGCAATATCTTATTAACAGATTGATAATATTTAACAAATTAATTAAAACCAGTCATGTGGTCAGCGTTACAAGTTTACAACATTTTAATACTGGAAATAAATTAATGGAACGTGTACCAAGAAATTTAAAAGATTGTTCAAGATTTATACCCACAAAGAAACCGATAAGTTCAGAAGATGTAGAGCCTGGAGTTGAAACGGATACCAGTTTTGCTTGGTTTCAAACAGAAGCTCCACCAGTGCAAACATTTTCTGTAGGAAATATTAAACAATGGTTCCAGTTTAATAAAAAAATACTCTATGTTAAAGAACAACATGTTGATCTCAAGATGATTAACGTATTGGGTATAAACATAGCAGCTGCATACTTTGTTATTAAATGGAGAGGAAAAATTAAGTTTAAGAACTCCAATTGGTTAGAAGCTAAAAATGATAAACCTGTTCGTTTACCAAGTTATTATAAATCTAATTATATAGTTATTGCAATAGATGCAAGCAAAACGATGATATGTTACGAAGGGCTAGAAAACATGTCGCCTCTTACTAAATTAAAATGGCTAAGCTTTAAGGGTTGCGAATATATTGATGATTGGTGCCTCGACAGAATATCTGCACGTTATCCGTCATTAGAGTTCTTAGATATTTCTGATTGTAAAAATATTACAGAGAGAGGATTAGAAGCATTGTATAAATTAGATAATCTCAAAATGTTGATAGTAACAAACCATCACAAATCAGCAGCATTCGAATTGACTTGTTTTATGTTGGAAGAATGTATTCCTAATCTGGAATGTAAGATATTAAATTCGTGGTACGTAGATAAATCTAAGAAACCCAAAGACGAGAAGAAAGAATTTAAATAAAATGGTAACAATTTAATTAAATATAAACATGTGTAAATATATACAAACGTTGCTTCAATCATGCGTTTTTAACGACATTTCTTAATTTATTTTTTTCTCTGTACTTCTTAACATAATATAATTCAGCTTTATTACCAATGCCGTAAACTTTTAAATTTTTATTGTCATTGGCGAGTTGTAAATCGTTAAAGCATAAATTATATTTTTTCCAAACGTGTTTCCAACTGATCTTCTTCTTAATATTTTCTCTTTTGAAATACAAGTTAGTATGCCTCTTAATGGCTTTTTTTAAATCAAGCACTGTAGTTGTATGTGTAGGTACCTAGATTTAAATAAATTCAAGTTTGTTTACAAATATAATATTAATATTCATTTATATCCATTCCCATATTCAATAATATTTAATCATATGATAAGAAACAAATATATTATCTTTAAAAAATTAATTACCACAATAGAAAGCCTTGGAAGATTTCTACGATTTAAAAATAATGTTATAGCTTGACCCTGTGCCACAGCAATCTGTGCTTTAATTTCTTCTACAGTGACATTTAATGGTAATCCAGCTAGAAACGGATCGCTGTCAATTAATTTATCAAGAGCTTCTTTAGTTAACTTAACTAATTCCTGATGATTTGAGTCTGACTTAGTATTCTCTTTAGGAATTATTTTTTCTTGCTTTGCATCCATTTTAATATCCATTTGATCGATATTGGAGGAACTATCTTGTTCTTCGATTTCAACTACGTCCATATTTTATTTATTACAATTTTTACGTTTGTGTTTTTTTTAACAATGTTTATAAACAAGTACACGAGGCCCCCTATCGTAAAAACTAATGCACTTTGTTGTGCAAGAATCGTATTAAGACCGATCGATAAAACAGTCGGATCAGTCGGTAACAAAGAAAACTGTATGTCGCCATCTGTAATGCTTGAAACGAACTATTACGGTTGTATCCCAAACCGAATGTAAATCGGTCGATAAAACATAACATTACCGACTGGTTAAATATATCGATAAGTAAGAAAACTTCTGCACCTTCTATGTGTGTCCCTGGGCAAAACTTAAAATGAAAATTATTAGAAAAATCAAGGAGATGTAAGTAAATTTACTTTTTTTTTTTTTTTTTTTATTATTATTAAAAATAATAAATCGCTCTTATCGTGTAAATATATATAAATCGCTTAAATACATTAAGATTACATGCGTTTAACAAGATTGTAACAATATCATCACGTCATAATTGTTTTTTTTTTTCTACGTAAATTATATAGTGTCTTCTACAGGTCTATAGATTATTCGTAATTATACATTTTTAAATTCCATAATTACGTTTTGTAAAATAACACGTAATACTAAAACTTAATTATACGTGTAAATTTGACATAAATCGTCTCAATAGGAAGACTTCTAATTTGAAATGGTAAAAAAATAAAAACTAGTAATAAAAATAGCAGTTTTTCATCGCGTTCGAGGAGTTATTTTTAAAGGAAGTCCATCCTTGTTAACGAGAACTAATTCGGCTTTTAAACGAAGTTTGTCTTCGGTGATTAATGATTCGATATGATATGCCTTTAATATTGACAAAATGAACACTTTAACGACTACCGTGGCGAATTTCTTTCCTATACAATTTCGTAAACCCTCGCTAAATGGTACGTATGTGTAGCGCGGTGGTCTAGGATTGCATGGTAAAAATCTTTCGGGTTTATATACGTGGGGTTCTGGAAAATGTCGTGCGTCTCGATGCAACAAGTACGAGTTTATTAAGACCGTTGAACCAGCTGGAATTGTGTGTCCCACTGAAAAAAGATTTTGTTTTCTGTTTTTAATTTATAAAAAAAATGTTTTAAAATTGAAAACAAGTTTCTAAATAAAACAGACGAACAAAAATATATATAGAATCGAATGATATTGCGTGGACATTGAATACTCACGTATTTCAAGGGGACTGTAAATTTGTCTGGCTATTAAAGGCGCCACTGGATATAATCGCCATGATTCTTTGATGCAAGCGTCTAATAAAACTAATTTGTTTAATGTTTCTGACGTCATTTCATCGCTACCAATTATTTCGTCGTATTCGTCAAGAATTTGTTGCTAAAAATTCATCAAAATGAATGAAATTTATTAGATTGTTCGGAAAGTCATTTGAATATCTTTTCTTTTGCTTGTTGAAAAAATGCGAATACAAAATGAAAGTAGAAATGTAAATTACTTGATATTCAGGTCGTCTTCCTAAAGCATATAATATCCAAGATATACTGGTAGCTGTAGTATCATGTCCCGCAAACATAAACGTGTTAACTTCATCGCGTATGTCAGTGTCTGTTAAATTATTCGATATTTCCAATAACAAATCCAACAAAGCTTGATGTTTCTTCGTCGGTTTGTTACAATTTTTGTCTCGATTATTATTCCATTCTTGTTTGCGTTCGGCGATCACCTAAACAGTCATTGATATAATTGATTTTCTTTTTTTTTTTTTATCTAGATACGAGGAAATGCATTTTATGCATTTTCTTTGCAATAACATCGATTTACCTTATCAATGAAATTATGAACTATTTTAAGAGCACGATCGTGTTCTTTTGCTAATTTGGTCAATTTAAATATAAAGTCGATCGATGTCCAAACACTTGTAAATCTATGCTGCGCGATTTGAGACAGCCTAGAATAGATTAGGAACAAAAATTTACAATTTTCTATAGTCTACACACGCAGCATTTTTTGATTAACATTTATTCATTGTCATAAAAACAAAACAATTATACGTACTTGTCTACTGCTAAAACATATTCATTGAATAAATTAGTTTGCGCGTTAATGCGGTAACCCATGGAACTGTCTAAAAATATACAAAGTTTCATAATAAAATTCCCTATAGGCAATACTATATTAAATAAATGACGTTAAACAATTTTTAGGGATTGTTTTTTTTTTTTGATTGTGTCAATTTGAAATTTTATTGCTGACGCGTCAAAATTCTTCTCGAAGAGAAAGGTTAAATCACAAATTCCAAATTTCTTGTTGTTCATTTTAGAATAAAAAACAGGTATATGGCTACCTTTTTGACTAATCATTCGCGTTGCTGGAGTTTCGAATTGACGGATTCTCAACAATTGGGACAATTGGAAAGTGAATTCGTTCAATTGAAAGGAAGAAAAGAGTATGAAGGATCGAGGAATAATTATGGACGTTGTCAAATTGATAAGAAAATTCAATCAGTAAAGAGAAAAGGAAGGAATTTTCATTCGAATAAAACGTCGAACGTGTCGAGTAGAAATGTTAAAAACGTTTCAAATAAAGATGATCCTTGCAAGGTATGAATATGGTCAAGTTTCTTACTATCTATTTGTTGCATTATTTATTGCAATAAACAGGTGAAGACATCAGCCCTATTGTACGAAATAACAGATCGCGTTAATCGATTAGCTCAACCACGGATAGTACGATCTAACGTTTCCGATGTATCCGAACCTCGATTAAACGTCAAGAAAATTTCAGAAGCCACGCCACGAATTCTCGAACTTTCAAAACCGAAAAGTATTTACGAGCCACCGTCTAAATTGCTTTATTACGTTTCACCAGCTGCATTAACTGCGATTCGTTAGTACACAAATTATTTTTTTATTCTCCTCGAAAGATTATTTTTGATGGGAATATGGTAGAGAAATGTTCCCTTTTATAATATTCAGCGACCGAACGTATACTAGAATTATCGCGACCGAGAAAGAATACAAAAAAGGTACCCGGGAGAAAAAGAAAATTAATTTATGCACCATGCAATTCGAGGATTTTGCATTTGGCACGTGTAAGAAGTACCAAACAAAATATCGATGACCGTTCATCAAAATCGTCCTCGAGACAACGCCGAAAGTCATTCAGGTAACATTCCGTTGATTTAGTATTTAGACAAACAAAATATTAGGATAATACAAAAATAAAAAGATACAAAATTAGGATGGAATTTCAAAAGTCAAATAAATTGGAATCAAGAAGAGATGGTAAGGAATCGAGTTACGATCAAAATCGTTGGAAGAAAAATCCAAGGAGAGAAAGGAGAACGAGAAGAAGGAAATGTATGGCGAAACAGGAACCGAAATACTCCAGGTCCGATAAAACAATAATTGTGATTGACTAGAATTAGAATTCGGAAAAGATATCGAATAAAATGAAACACGTGATACATGTGTTTTTTATACGTCAGCGAAATTTAAAAAGTTTCAAATGACGACGATATCGAATAAATTTAACGGATTTCAAATATTAGCGTCAGCGTAAAAATCCAAAAAAGAGAAAAAACAAATCATGAAAGTGTAAACGTTGAAATAACATTTGAAATAACTCACCACAAATGACGTCGAGTGCAGCACGTTTGGCATAAGGAACGATATCTACACTCTTGCCGATTTCTCCTTTAAGACAATCGATCATAATTTTGGCTTCGTTAATAGCACTCGAAAAATAATCTTCTAGGAGGTTACTGTAGTGAAAAGTCGGTGTCAGTAACTTCCTACGATGATGCCACCTTTTTCCTAAAATTTGTTAACCAACATTTATTTGTCTATTTATACAAATCAAAAATCACATGCCAGATTTGGATTTAATCGACGACTAATTTTATCCTACGAAATAGTGCATCATCATTTTCTATCAATTTCCCTACTTTCTTGTTGAAAAATCTTCCTTGAAAACGTAGTCAATCAATCAACGTTGTGAAATAAAGAAGTTGTAATTTATTCGTGCAAGTCAAATGAAGTTGCATTGAAATGTATTAACTTCTTTCTAATTGATATTAATTTATTGATTGCTTTTTTTACTACTAATTACTGTGCCGTTAAGATTTTTCCCCCTTGAACGATGTAAGAAAAATAAAGGCGTTTAGATTATCAACAACATATTCGTGAAGAACTATTGAATAATTCTGACGTTAATATTAGCATATTAGCATGAAAATAATGTGAAATTTTGCACGATGAATTGCACATAAGTTGGCTGATTATGCAAACGGTAATCTCTTTTTTTAATACTTCTTATTTTTAGTAATGTCAAGTATATTTTTAGATTGGTAAGAACATAAACATGCGAACCAAAATTCAATTTTGACACTCACCGTTACTAGTGATCAATCCATTACCAAGCCATGGAATTAGGTATCCGTATTCGAAACTTTTATTAATATGAACTCTACTACTAAGTAATGGCTGAACCGTTTCTACTTTGTAAAGAAAGATGAAAGGTCGTATGCCAACCCAAACCAAAAATATATCCCCGAATCTGTTACTCCATTCGATTAAATTGCTGAAGAATTCTGTAAAATATTTTTTAAGTTATATAAGTTATCATATATCGGTACGTGTACTCCTTAAATAGGTTAACAAATCTAGGTTGTTAATCGTGTAACGAAGGAAGAATAATGTGGGTAGAATTCTTAGATTGTTAATTGCAAGTCTTTAACGGTCATTGACTTCAACTCGTGTCACATAAGTAGGCCTTTTTGCAGCTATGTATGGTACGTACATGTATGGTGACAAGCAATCAACGCTATTATCGTTAGCTTGCTTCTAGGTATCTTTCTCTCTCCATGATGCAAATATAAGAGAAAGAAAAGGACTGAGAAATGGGGGAGAGTGGGAGAAAGAACGGAAAAAGGAGAGAGAGAGAGAGAGAGAGAGAAAGGGGGGGAGGAAAGAGGAAGAAAACGATGGAAGCCGATGCACGTGCAGCGTGTTGCTTGCTTGGTAAAAGGAGTGCTAAAGTCTTATGGCGCACTGACCGGACATTGACCGTAAAAATGGGCAAGCCACGTATTTGCACCGAGGACGATGAGTTGCAAGGTACCTTTATAACTTCGAGACCTTGCTAGTGCAACTATTATATATATAAAAACAAAGACGACGAGTGACCTTCCACTGAAAGATCCTTCAACGGAAACTTATTCGCGTCGCTTTATATATCAATGAACATAAGCCCTAAAGAAATGAATGATATTTAATTGGAGTTTCAACTTTTTAAAGTTCAATGTCTAACAATTAGTCAAATCTTTGGATGTAGTAGTTCAAATTTAAGGTCAATCGTGATCTAGTTAATCGTGATCTAGTTAACCGTGATCTATTTTAGTCTATTTTAAACACGACAGGACAAATTCTAAATGAAATTTTGATATCTATTGATCTGGTACAGTTCAATACTCTAATTAAATCTTCTGATTTCATTAATTAGGTGTGAGTGACGTCAATGTCAACGCGTTAATACGATCGAAAACAAATTTAAAGTTAAACTTCGTTATCATTTGCACTCGCGTTATGATTTTTATTTGTGACTTTCTTTATTTCTTTCTTTTTCTCTGCTTTTTTTTTTATTTCCTCGAAATCTAATGTCAAAGTTGAAACGCGTTGATAGACGGTTTTTAAACGTAACTCTGTGCGTATACATATATATCTACATGTATATGTACACGTATCAGATCGACCTTTTTCTGCTCGCACACGTGTCCCTACTACGTTTCCTCGTTGCATGCCTCACTTTGGGCTTGCCCAAATCCTCAGTCTGACTCGTCTTGCACTCGTTCCACTTCCATTGGTCATTCTTCTCTCTCCACGCGTATACTCCATTGACCTTTTTCATACACCACAAATATACGTACTTACAAGGTCGGCCAAAAGTCCCTGAGTGGGTCAAATGTCTTTAAGTTGGGATAACAATTTGTAGATTAATTTTCAAAATTTCATCTTTTTTTCCCCCTTAAATTATCTAACTAAATTATCTAACTACTAGCCTAACTGTGACCTAAACAAACGAACAATTTAATCTAAGAACCTTTTCTGCAACCTTGTATTTGTAAATAATTTTCAATCGAGAACAGTTATCATTCGATTTATTGATCTTTATCGGTACTCGAATAACAATTGAAAACTCGTATTACTTTTTCGATAGAATTTAATCAGTGAAATGGATCAACGCGTATCTCTTATTGGATTAGATTCGATGCAACTTGAAACCTAATGAAGTTCTTCTATCCTTTTGTTTTCTTCTTATTCTCTATCTTCGATCAGACAATCGATACTCGGAATAATACAATTCGTATTGCCGAAGAAGAAGAAGAAGAAGAAGAAGAAGAAGAAAGAACAGCAGCAGCTATGTTTTATAATACCCTTGGCACGTGTCACTAGGACAACGCACTCTCAGCATAAATTGCGTCTACTGATTTGAACTTATTTTCGTTTTTAACATCAGGAAATGTAAGTTCAATCGATAATTTCGTTTCGGTAAAATCCCCGAAATGTTTAAACTAATTTTCTTTTATTTTAACTTAAAGTTTATCAATCTAATTTGACGTACCAAACAAATTTTCTTTTTTAATTCTATGACGTCTTCAATATTTCTAATACATAAAGTTTCTTAAATATTTGACTAATATTATAGAAATTATGTTCCAATTAATTACTTTTCTTATTTTAAATATTAATAGCTATCATTTTACGGGTCATTGATAATAATATACCACGTTGTCCAATATTCAGAAATTCTGTGTGTTCTATAAGATAATACTAATAATATTTTCATTTCAATTTATTGATTTGATATTACTTTAGAAAGTTTGATTGGGATGATAGAAATAGTAATCTATATAATATATCCACAAGCACATGCACACACCCACACAATTGACTTAATTCGTTTGACTGTTATCAATAATACATGAATCATACAATACACTTATAGTTGTCTAATAGATTGGATAAAACTTCGTCTATGCAAAAGTATACTGTGTGTGTGTATGTGTTTGATTTGTTCTAGGGGGTGGGGTTGAATGGGGGATCGTTTAAACGTCTAGCTCTTGTCTGCTACTAAAATTGATCCGACATTTCTTCATTGTCTGAAAAGATTCGCGTGACACGCCTTTCCCTTTCTCATTCTTATTCTTATTCTTTTTTCTTCTTATTCTTATGCGACCCTTTTTTTCCTCTATCTCTCTTTCTTTCTTTTACTGTTCGAGTCGGTGGATATATAATTGTATGCAATTACGTGGGCAATACGAGTGGCACAGTCATTCAGACCACGAACGACCTCGACCCGTTTTTTTTCTTTCTTGTTTTTCTTCTTTCTTTTTTGGCTTTCTTTTTTAACTTTTTTTTCTTTTTCTTTTTCTTTTTCTTTTTCTTCCTTACGGGAGAGAATATATTGTCGATTATTTTTCAATGAACAACGTGGTAAGATTCTTTTTTCCTTTCTCTTTTTCAATTCTATTTAACAATGGAATAACACATGCGTTTGCATAAAACTCGAGCTTATCGGTATAGGAGGGTTGAAATTTCATCAAAATTTGATCAATTTTCGATCATTGGAATTCAAAGTTAGTGAAAGTGATAGCTATTTAATCGAACTTTGATAACAACCATGATTTGATACAATTCATTGAGCTAAAATGTAAACATATGCATTCCTTTATTATTATAGATTTTATCAGGAAACTTTAGACTAAGTTTAAATGATAATTAATTGGAAAATAATTTAGAATCGGTAAAAACTTCTTAGATTATTTTCACATTATTAATTTATGGTTTATTATATTATAATCAATTCTTATAAACAATTATAAATATATAAGAGATATCTATTTTGAAGCTAAATTAAATAATAATTACTGATATGAATAGTTCTTTGATAACTATACGATTTAATGATTTTATTGTAAATTAGAATATAATTTCATTGTATTGTATAGGTCACGAGATTAGAGAGTTTAGGAATGATTCATCTAGGAATAAATTCTGCGTTATCAAGTAATTTAATTACCAACAAGATAAGAGATTCGGATGGTTAGCTAAAGAATTACTGAAATTTCGAAGTTTTTTTTCGCTGCTGGGATTTTTAGATCACGGCCAATTTTTTTCATTTAACGTACTAAGATATGTTACAGATAAGTCGTAGGGGGTTTTAGATTTGAAATTGTTGAAGAATCTCGATATTAGAATTGCTGTCAGAACCCCATATCTGTATCTCACAGGTTCAAATAACATTTAGGATAATTTTATACAGATTATATATAACAAGCAAGGATTCGTTTGTTCGTAAAGGAATTACATATGAACGTATTGGATTTTTTCCAAAAATTCGAGCAGATGAATTTTTCTCAAAATAGGCAAACACTTTTCGGGCAATCATAGACTTGAAAAATATAAAAATCGAACAAAATTATAACCAAATCGGTAAGAACAATCCATACAAACTAATAAAAAAAAGAAAAAAAAAAGAAAATCAATAAAACTTACCTTCCAAAGTGCAATTCAATTGATAGGCATTTCCAATTAATGGCAGGGATATCGGATGCGGTATTTTTCTAACAGCGTAGATAAATTGTCCATGTTGTATCGCGAATACTGTTACCATAAGTAGCAAAAAGAATGACAAGATCAAAGTTATCCAGGAATAATCAAAAAACGTTTGTATCGCGGAAGGCATAGTGTCTTTTTTTAACTCTCTTCTGATTAATTTGCAAACACTATATCTTTTAATATCTAATCAAAACTGATTATTATTGAACACTTTCAAATACTTGCGATTGATTTTCTCTACTTTTATCAAAATTCACTTCTTATTCACTTTCCATCGATCTCACGTTTCTTTTTAAAAAAAAAAAAAAATACCATATCGATCAGATCGATCGGATCGAGGAAAATAGATCAAACTTTTGAACAATTCAATATCTGCCGAGCCATATATTTACATGTAAAAATAACAAATTATGATAACTTTAATTATTGATCGAATTAAGTCGAAATTATTTAAATAAAAAGCAAATGTTGATTTTTATTTTTTAAATATATTAATAAATGTTCACTCGCGATACTAGTAAAAAAAGGGAGATAAAGGGAGAGAGAGAGAGTGAGAGAGAAAGAAAAAGGAAAAGAGAGTGGAAGAGACAAAAATTTGAATTAAAATAAAAAAGAGAAATATGATGATAAAAAAATATAAATAAACAAATAGAAGTAAAACTTTGAAGAGCCCAGTGTATAAGACGCTTGTCAAGAAGTGACTCTCTCTCGTACGAAAGAACCGCCCTTATATACTAGCGAATGCTCTGAGTATTACACCGAATGGTCAGCAGCTAGCTCATCCACCAATAGAAACAAACACGCGCAAGGCGGCAACGTTCGAATGCGTATCTCTCTCTCTCTTTCTCTCTCTCTCTCTTTTATATTTTCCTCTCTCTTTCTCTTTTTCTCAGCAACGTAGAGACTATGCACGTGTGTAAGTAACGTATGCACAAGAGTACGCAATATATATGTGTGTCTAAACAGTGAGAGAAAGAATTTACTAAAAAGAAAAAATAGAAACCACATAATAGACAGATCCAAAATAGATATTAAATATTTGAGTAATCTATCTTATTTTAATGTATCATTTCTGGATCCGTTTTCACATATTTTGCATAGTTAAGAATATTAATACACATACAAACATTCAAAGTTAATTTTAAAATAAAACATTCGTTTCACCAAAGATCTTTTAAAGTTGAAATCCGGTATATTATTTTATTATCAAAGTGTGTTTTTTTGTTTCGTAATCTGAACAAAAATATCTTAAAATATAAATAAATGGATTTATACAATTTTCAGAAACAACGGCTCACGTGTACTGGACAAAATCAAAAAGTAAAATTTGCATTGATGTGGTTAAAAAATGTTACTGATCATAAATTTGTCCTACCAAGTTATTTGTTTTTTTGAAGGGACAGACATTTTAGAGCTGAAGAAACAGCATTAAGGAAGGAGGACATTTTATATACTACTCCGAATTATTATAATATAATAAAGAATTGTAAAAGAAAAACTAATTTCCTTTTATATGAGACGAAACCATAGAAGTGGCAATATCAAACAGACCAAAAATATAAATTGGGTTATTGTACATTGGCTAAAGATATGCTGGAGAGGATTTAAAAGAGATGAACCTTACAAAATTTTCTACGAAATATCTATGAAAGAGAATGCACAATTTGAAGTTCTTGATTTCTTTAAAAAGTGTTGAAGCCTATCAAATTTCAGCAAAATATTATCATTTTGTTACCATTGTACACAACTTTGAAACCTATAACAGGAGATAAATATAACGATATGATGGCTTTACTGTTTTACATACCTACAATCCACCATAAATATTTCGCTATGTTTAGAATACAAGAGAAATAAGATTGAGATACGATTAAAACTATAATGAAAATATTTCTTAATGAAGTCAATTTTACGTTGACTTTCATTTAAGTTAATGAAAACCCTTACATGTTCATATCTTATGAATATATGAATTGATTTGATCAGTAGATTAGATCCGATAGAACAGCATGATTAAAAAAACATTGGTTTTTAAATTACAAGAAAAGACATGAACTGATAACTACGGGCATTGTGTTATGGAAAGAAAACAATAACGTATTTACAAAGAAAGAAAGAGATAAAATTAGGTTATTAAAAGAATACGTAAGAGAAAAAAGAAAACTGCAATTAAGTGTAAACTAAGAATGACATCACAATGGGTGCATCCCTCGTATCAAATTTGCTTATACACACACACACACACACACACACACCTTAATCCCATATCCCATGATACTGAAGAATAATTCTGATGATGATGATGTTCATTTCGATAATCCAGCTCGTGTGGACAAGTTGTTGTTCGTTTATATTGCCACGTGTCACAGATGGAACCAATAAAATAAAAAGAAAAGAAAAGAAATGGAGGACGCTCGCGTAGAAAGGAATCAAAAAAGAACAGAGACGGAATAATTAAATAACCAAGAGAGAAACTGAAGGACAGAGAGAGAACGATCACGATAGGGTTGAGGGAGGGCGGGACAGGAGGATTGGTGAGAGAGAGCTGTCCATAAATCTTGAACGACTCATGCGATATAAAACTGGTCGAGCGAATAGCATGAAAAACAGACAAAGACAACAAATGCACTCATGTGGTTAAAGAGAAAAAGAATGATTTGTATTTGGTACCCAAGGACGATGATTGACCAGTACTCGATCATTATCTCCTTACACGCTTCTTCAGTGCTACTAGAGGTTCTCTACACTGCGTTATCACCGGACTGATACAAATCGATTGTCTAACTTTTTTTTTTGTTCTTTTCTTTTCTTTTCCATTTTATTTTATTATCTCAGCAACTGGTATCGCGGGGAGTCGCGCCGTGACGTAATAATAACAATCATCGACGACACGTGCCATTTTTATTGCTATTATTATTATCTTTTCTCTATCTTTTGATTTTATCTTCTCTTCCTTCTTCGCTATTGTAAATAATGTGCGGTATACTTCGAGAAAAAAATGTCAAAAATTTAAAAAAAAATCTATATTCGTGTGCGTGCGTGCGTGAACGGGTGTGACGCACGTTTTTACCTAACTAACAATAAAAATAAACTATAATTAAATTAATTTCTTAGTGTTCGTAATCCCCTTCCACGTAGTTAATGTCAATCCGAAATACCAACATCTTTCGAAATTATTTTGAACGTGACGAGAAATATTTGATAATTCAGTTTACTTTTGTCGATGAGATAAAACAGTATGTTTCTGTGTCTGTAAATATTTGTAAATGTTTGCTAACAGAAATAATTTTTTTATTTCTTTCTAATGAATAATGATGAATATATAAATATACAAAATAATATATTGTATTATAAAAATATATGGTATGTTTAACACATTGAATGCCATGGGAATGCACCGGTAACCGGCGAAAATATAATTACTAGAAGCACATAATTCGCGATAAATTTGCCTTTGTCCTAGATACGTTTTTTGAATTTTGTTCCTCACATATTTTACAAAATCGTCCCGTGGATTTTCCTGGCATATCCTTTTATTTCATGACGTGTTTTTTTCAATAGGCTCGCACGCGAAAAAATGCTATCGAGGATTGCATTATCTCGGTATTTTGTTCATTGAAGCAAATAAAAAAAATACATTATAGCGCCGTGGGAGTCACCGGTGACACTTCAATAAGATAATTGCGTTAAAAATGATTAAACACTATAACTTATCTGTTGTAAATAATATTTGAACAAAATATGTAACGTATAATAACCAATTCATTAGCCAGGTAAAATTGAAGTGGCATTAAACGTGTTAATTATTTTGTTATTATATACAGAGTGTCCTATATAACTGGTAGTACAAGCGAGCAGGAAATGATCATAAATGAAAAATTTAGTCGACAATGAAGAATTATTATATTTTATATTAATATTTAATATTCGGTAATAGAATCAAATCAAATCGAATAATGGATTTTGTTTCCCTTTCCTTATATACTGCAAATACGAATATAATAAAACATATTCGACTTTTCCAACGTACAAGTACACGAATTTAATGTAATCTTTCTCTCATTGTTATTTCTCTTTCCTCTATCTTTTGCAAATATTCTTCTACCATATACACAAAAGATCACACAGCTCTTATTGTAATCTTTTAACATGGGAGTGCACAATTCAGTATAATAAAATTGAACAAACGTGCTTTGTAGAAACGCTAGTTTCTATGCACCACGTGCGCTTCTAAATGAGGTTGTTGCATTGTCGCAAAAATAAAAAAAGAAATAAAAAATAAAAAACATTTAGAAAGAGACGGAGAAAGAGAAATAAAGAGAGAAAGAGAGAGATCTCATTGGTTCATCGAACTTAACTCGCGCACATATAAAGGACACGCGCTAAACGACGAATCGATAAAACCCGTTCTATTACAAAAGTGGCCTCGACTTATGTAAATACGAATTCTTCACCCGGTCCAACAGTTTGGATAGCAAATTGTCCAATCTTGCAATTAAGATTTCTTCCCTTTCTTTCTTCTTTCCTCTTTCTTTTTCTTCCTTCTTTTAATCAAATTTACAAATGTACGATAAAACTGATCTTAATTACTTCTTAATTATTGTCGCGATATTTTTATATATAATTTGTTATATGCCATATACACGAATGACATATTTGCCTTATTTCAACTTGGAGAACAAATCTGAGACACCCCATATATATATAACTCAATTATAACAAATTAATTATATAACTTATTTGATAACACAAATAATTTTAATATCAAATAAATCATAAAATTCATGTTTTCAATTTTTTCACTTATGTTAGTCCGCTGTCATAATTATTGATACATTTATCAAAGATAACTCTTATCTATCAATTCTTATTTTAAATATGCCATTAATTATGACAACAATAAGTCAAAAAACTGAAGAAATTGATTTTATGATTTATTTTACATTAGCATTACTTGTATAACAAAATAAATTTTTACAATTTTTCGACTTATTTTAGTCCAGTGTCATAACTACCAATACGCTATAATATTTTTCACCGAATTAATCAATCCCATTTTCTGTTTTCGTATTCTTGTAATCTATATATATATATATATAATTTTCTATTATAATTTAATATTTAAAAAAAAACATGATACCGAAATGAATGAATAAATGATGAATATTCATTCATGGCAATATACTACAATATAATCAAGTCTCGATGTGATGATTAAAGTGACATAAATTAGTGATTCTGTGCATTCCTATCCTGCAAACAAAACTCCACGTGTTCGACCTCAGCACTCCGATCTTTGAGAAAGAGAAAGACAAAAAGACAAAATATAGAGAATGAGAGAGATAGAAAGGAGGAACGCGTTGGCAAACAAACAAATAAACAGCCAACGGAGTTTGAATTTAGTATTATGTAATACCATGAAAATGCTACGTGTAATAATACGTAATAGGTATGATATATTTACATAATCCAAAACTACACGGTCATTAATTATTTGAATACAATATTAATTA